ATTTCAGCATATTCTATAGGTGGAATTATCAAATGAACTTCTTTTGTCCAGCGTTCCTAATAAACAAACTTGAATTTTAAAATATAACGTGAAAAAAAATTTTGTCTTTAAAAAAAAATTAAATGATACACACAATAACTTTTTGGAATACATCTTTATGAAAAGAAACTTTCGCTTCAGCGATTATATGCCATGTTTTATTATTCCAAGTGCGGAATGGGATATTCTCATTATTAAAAAAATAACGAGGCTCGAAACAAGTAGTCACAGATTCTTTATTCATTAACTGTTTATGTACTACGTAATGTAACAATAGTCATTTAACGTATCGCTATTATATGTTGATCATCCTTACTGTATTTATGCAATTGCTTGTCTCCTATGCTGTATTATCAACTAAGCCCCGTAACTTACCAACTTTGATATTATGTCATACGTTGCACATAATCATGCATATAGATGAAAGGTAAATCTTTTTTATTCCTAACCTTGCTTATCATAAGAATGATCGTACTTTTAGAATAATCGATCTATTTTGTGCGTGCAAAAGAAAGCTTTTTGTTGCATTTAAAGAATATATTAATTACATAAGCAAACTAAGGGCACTGACATTTATTACGTAATATCCATTTACTATAAGGGCTACCCCTCTCCCCCATATAAGATCTACATTATTGGCCAATTTAGAAATCATATAATTTCTTTGTGTAACGTAAGATATTGATATAATACATGCTCAACCCCCACCCCTAAAATATTACGTAATAAATGTCAGAGCCCTAATTTGATTAAATTTAAATTATTTCAACGAAAAAATTCTTACTCTTTTTTGCATTCAAAATGTCAACCAAAAAACAATTATCAGATGAAATTATCCAACTTACTAGCAAATTTGGAGAATTAAGTTTTGCAGACGCCCAAAGATCAGCAGAGAAAGGAGAATCCAATGGAATATTCATGCTTGGTTACTTCTATGAACACGGAATAGATGTTGAAAAAGATGAGCATAAGGCATTCAATTATTATAAAGAATCAGCAAATAAGAATAATTCTTATGGAACATACATGCTCGGTTATTGTTACGAATATGGAATTGGAACTGAAAAGGATGAAGACGAGGCATTCAAATATTATCAAAAATCGGCTGATATGAATAATTCTAACGGAATGTATCAAGTCGGTTCTTGCTATGATTTAGGAATTGGTGTTGAAATCGATAAGAATAAGGCATTTGAGAACTACAAAAATTCAGCAAAGGTAGGTAATTCGAAAGGTTTCTCCAAAATTGTCATTTTATCTGATGAAATGGGACGTGCCGATGGAATGCTTCAAGTCGGTGATTGTTATCATAAAGGAAGTGGAGTTGAATGGGATGAACATCAGGCATTTATTTGGTATAAAAAATCAACAGAAAAAGAAAATTCTTTTGGAACATACATGGTTGGTTATTGTTACGAATATGGAATTGGAACTGAAAAGAATGAAAACAAAGCATTCAAATATTATGAAAAATCGGCAGACATGAATAATTCTAACGGAATGTATCAAGTTGGTTATTGTTATTCTTTAGGAATTGGCGTCGAAATCGATAAGCATAAAGCGTTTACATATTATTTAAAGTCTGCTGAAGAAGGTAATACAATGGGTGTTTTCAAAACTGCCATATGTTACTGTTATGGAATTGGCGTGGAAGAAAATAGAAATAAATTTATTGAATGGCTTAGAAAGTGTGTTAATTTTTAATTATTTATTATAATGTTTTTATAATTTGTCAAAGATCTTATTCAAAATTTTAATTATCAGGGAGTAAGCATAAAGAGCATTTATTGATTTATTTGTCAGATATTTAAGCTCATAAATATTTGTTTATGTTATTTAGCCCGTAAGCATAAAGAATATTTTATAATTCCTAGAAATTATAGCAAACCGAGTTCACGAAACAAGAACATAAATACTTATTTACCATGTCAAAATAATTTCATTCGCATTAATTTAGTTGGTGAGTGTAAGAACATTTAATAATTTCTAGAAATAAAACCAGTGAGCAAAGTTTATAAATCAAGATAATAATACTTATTTACTATCATTTCATACGTATGCATTAATTTAGTGGGTTAGTATAAAGAACACTTGACAATTTCTAGAAATAAATCTGTGAGACAAGTTCACAAAACAAGAACATAAATACTATTTCTATTCTTATTAATTTAGTTGGTGAGTATAAGAACATTTAATAATTCCTAGAAATAAAACCAGCAAACAAGTCCACAAACAAGATCATAAATATTTATCTACTATTACGTATAAATCAATTCATTCGCATCAATTATTTCATTTAGTAAGTGAGTATAAAGAGCATTTGATAATTTCTAGAAATAAAGCCAGCAAGACAAGTTACAAAACAGAACATAATATTAATTATTATCATTTCATTCACATTAATTATTTCATTTAGTAGGTGAGTATAAAGAGCATTTAAGAATTTCTAAAAATAAAACCAGCAAGATAAGTTCACAAACAGAACATAATGCTTTATTTATCATCATTTCATTCGCATTAATTATTTAGTAGGTGAGTATAAAAAGCATTTAAGAATTTCTGGAATAAAACCAGCAAGACAGGTTCACAAAACGAACATAATACTTAATTATCATCATTTCATTCGCATTAATTTAGAAAGTGAGTATAAAGAGCATTTAATAATTTCTAGAAATAAAACCAGCAAGACAAGTTCACAAAACAGAACATAATACTTAATTATCATCATTTCATTCGCATTAATTTAGAAAGTGAGTATAAAGAGCATTTAATAATTTCTAGAAATAAAACTAGCAGAACAAGTTCACAAAACAGAACATAATTCTTAATTATCATCATTTTAATCACATTAATTACTTCATTTAGTGGGTGAGTATAAAGAGCATTTAATAAATTCTAGAAATAAAACCAGCAAGACAAATTTACAAAACAAGAACATAATGCTTATTTATTCGCATTAATTATTTCATTTAGTCAGTGAGTATAAAGAGCATTTAATAATTTCTAGAAATAAAACCAGCAAGGCAAGTTCACAAAACAGAACATAATACTTAATTATCGTCATTTCATTCGCATTAATTTAGAAAGTGGGTATATAAAGATTTAATAAATTCTAGAAATAAGACCAACAAGGCAAGTTCACAAAATTGAACATAATACTTAATTATTATCATTTCATTCGCATTAATTATTTCATTTAGAGGGTGAGTATAAGGAGCATTTAATAATTTCTTGAAATAAAACCAGCAAGACAAGCTCACAAAACAAGCACATAATACTTATTTATCATTATTTCATTCGCATTAATTATTTCATTTAGTGGGTGAGTATAAAGAGCATTTAATAAATTCTAGAAATAAAACCAGCAAGACAAATTCACAAAACAGAACATGATTAGAGATGTGCCGTATGCATTATGCAGATGATGTTGCATGCTACATAATGCTGCATAATCCGATGCCAGTTGCCTAAAATTTAAAAATGCACATAGAAGTTATTATGTAATTTTAACAATTACTTTATAGAAATTTATTCCTATCAAATTCATAGCCTGTGAAATCCAATAAAGAATTAAATCTATCAGATCTGTTTTCACTATATAAATCTAATGTTTTATGTTTTCAAATCCGATAACCTCTCAGTGATAATACATAGTCTGTTCACTGCATATAGGTTTTGAGAGGTCACAGTATATTATACAGAATTGCATAATGTATCATGCGACATAATGCTGCATTATGTAATGCAAGGCCAAAAAAACTTGCATTCGAACATCTCTAAACATGATACTTAATTCTCATCATTTCATTCGCATTGATTATTTCATTTAGAGGGTAAGTAAGAAATAAAACCAGCAAGACAAGTTCATAAAACAAGAACATAATACTTATTTATCATCATTTCATTCGCATTAATTTAGAGAGTGAGTATAAAGAGCATTTAGGAACTTCTAGAAATAAACCAGCAAGACAAGTTCACTAAACAGAACCTAATACTTAATTATCATCATTTATTCGCATTATTTTAGAAGGTGAGTATAAAAAAAATTTAATAATCTCTAGAAATAAAAAGCAAACCAAATTCACAATACAAGAATATAAATACTTATTTACCACCACATACAAATCATTTTATTCGTAATAATCTTTTCATCAGCTTGTGAGTATAAAGAACGTTTAATAATTTCTAGAAATAAAAATAGCAACAAGCCCACTAAACAAGAACATAAATACTAATTTACTATTCTATACAAAAACATTTCATTCGCAATAATTTAGTTAGTGAGTATAAAAAACATTTAATACTTTTATGAAATAAAAGTTCATAAAACAAGAACATAAATACTTATTTACTATTATGTTCAAATTGTTTAAATCGCGTTAATTAGTTAGTGAGTATAAATATTTAATAATTTCTAGAAATAATAATAGCAAAACAAATCACAAAGAATATAAATACTTATTTATCATTACGTACAAAACACTTCACTCGTATTAATCATTTTATTAGCTTGTGAGTAGAAGAATACTTATTAATTTCCAGAAAAATCAAGTTTACAAGTCAAGAACATAGAAACTTATTTACCATTACGTATAAAAAAATCGTTTCTTTCGCATTAATAATTTCATTTAGCGCGTTAGTATAAAGAACATTTAATATTTTACGAAAAAACAAGTTCACAAAACAAGAACATAAATACTTATTTATTATGACGTACAAATCATTTCACTCGCATTAATTATTTCATTTAGTGAGTAAGTATAAAGAATTTTAATAATTTCTAGAAATAAAACAGCATAACAAGTTCACAAAATATAATACTTATTTATTATTACGTACAAATCGTCTATTAATCACCTTATTTAGTCGTCAGTGAGTATAAAGAACATTTACTAAATTCTAAAAGTAAAAATCATAAAACAAGAATCTAGACATTTTTTTACAGCTATGTACAAATTATTTCATTCACATTAATTTAGTGGGTGAGTATAAAAAATATTTAATTTCTAAAAATAAAAACGGCAAAGTGAGTTCATAAAACATAAATATTAATTTGCTATTATATGAAAATCATTTCAGCATGTAAGTATAAAGAACTTTTAATAATTTTATGAAATAAAAACAGCAAAATAAGTTCACAAACCAATAACATAAATACTTATTTTCTATCATTTTATTCTCATTAATTTAGTTAGTAAGTATAAAGACATTTATTTCTAGAAATAAAACCAGCAAAACAAGCTA